ACAGGTTATATTTTCATATGCAGATCTGGCATATCCACACGTTGGATCTCTTCTTGCTGGTTCTGTGCAAAATTATATCTGGGAAGAGAGAAAGAAAGGTTTGCTTTGACAGTATTTCTGAGGTAGAAACACTGAGAGACTGAGAAGCGTTTTCACACCTTTTTTTATACATACAGAATGTGTGATTTTTAAATAAGCACCAGAGAGAAAGTAACTTTGCCAAGGCTCCCAGCCACTGCTTCTGAGCTGTGGACACGGGTATGCTGGGTGGTTTACACTGGTTCGGGTTAAAGCACTTTAATGAGACTCCCACATTAGGAGTTTCGATTATAAACACAAGTGGTGGTTGTTGTTTTCTGTTAAAAACTGGGAGAAAACAGTAAGAAAAGTCCCTTATCTTTCATCTTACCAAGCATCCTTTTTATATTTCTTTTTCTTTTTTTTTTTTCCCCAGCAAAATTCATTTTTGAAGTCAATAAAACGGTGATGAAGAAGGCCAAAAGAAAATCATTGGGAGCCTGAAATTGCCTGTTTACTTGCCAGAAGCACTCTGCTCTGGCAACTGCAGTGGGTTTTTTGTTTTGTTTTAACCTGTTGTGCTCCCTTTACAGCATATGAAGAAGTGGTAATGAATTTAAGAATGAGCTCTGCCTGTGCAAAGTAAATACATCTCGATTTAAAAAAAAAGTTTTTAAAACCCTATAGTAGGTAAATAGAGGGAGCTAACACTGCTTCACTTTATTACTCCCCTACTGAATGCTTTTGTGAGGATAATCCTGTATTACATGATGGAGGATAGTTAAAAGATCTATGATAAAGTTGTCCTTTGTGCGTTTCCATCAGGATTTTCCATAATGATTGAAGAAAATCCTATGGAAATAGTGTATTTTACAGTGCCTATCTGTATCTGTTTCAGTTTACTCATTGACATCAGCGAACTCTACAATAATGACTCAGGCTGCTATTTTCAGGGGAAAAAATGACAGGAGTGCATCTGGGCTGAAACCACCTCCATCAGCGGCCCAGCAATAGTCAGGGCTATTTCACTTCGCATCAGAGACGCCGGGATGTCTCACGCTGCTGCGCATGAGGCTCACCCGCAGGCTTTGGCCCCTTATTTTAGAATCCTGTGGTAATTCTTACACTTGCAGTATTTTATAAATAACGTACTTCTGGGGGAGTCAGGATTTCTTACTCCTCAGCCGTCTGTTTACCGTTGCTTTCCTCTTTGGATTATTTGCTGCCCCTTTCCGTGTTGTGTTTTCCTACCCGAGGCTGGATGGCCGATCTCTCCCTGTGGCTCCTGAGTGGGCTTTCCTGGGTGGGACTCCCTGGCTGCGAACAAGGAGAACCTTCGTTCCTGGTGGGGTGGATTTCTTCTGTCTTCCTTTATCAGCCCCAGTTTCTGCCTCCCTCTTCTGTTAGACTTCTTTTCTCCTTTCTTGTTCTCCATTCCTCTGCCATAGAGGAATCTTCCATCTGTCCTTTGAGACATGGTTTAGTGGGTTTAGTGGGCATGGTGGCGTTGGGTAGAAGGTTGGACTTCATGATGTTTGAGGTCTCTTCCAACCATAACGATTCTATGATTCTATAGGGCAGACTTAGCAAAGGATTTCAGCTTCTAAAAAATGCATCTGTGCCCAAACCTTCATCCATGCTCAATAAAACCCATCACCTGCCTATGGTTTACACAGCGCAGAGGGACAAGCAGAACCCTTAGGCTGTGGTCCAGGGGATGGTACCACCACCTTGTCCCTGTTGTGGGATTTTTGCAGGAGAGTGACCAAAGGTCTGTGTTCAGCGTGGGGGCCCTGAGCCTGTTGGTGTGCCCATGGGTGCAAGAAGTGTGCCCATGGGTCCAAGGACCATCCCTCCAGGGCCTTCAGCAGAGAAAGGACTTCAAGCCACCTTCCCTTCCATGGTGTCTCAGCTTCACGTCCATCTCTTGGCCGCCAGCTGCCCTTGTTTGCTGCCACGCTTACCGTTCATCCTTTCTCTCCTGTTTCTCCCATCGTGTCAGCTGCTTCTGCCTGTCCCCTTGCCTCGTGGTACGGCCACCTCTGTGCTAGCGTCCTGGGAGATCTGCCTGACACCTTCAGCCTGTAGCCCCAAACCCTTGCCTCGTGTTCCTATAGTAACCCCCAGCCCGAGCAGAGCATTGGAGAGGTTTTCCAGAAAATTCCCCTGCCTCCCTTTTGGGGAAAGAGCTGGCATCTTTCGACAGGGAAACATGGAGTTGTATTCAGTCGAGATAGTACTTAGTCCTTGAAGTCTGAAAATGTAGGAAGGTGGGAGACAACTGTGAGAAACAGAAATGCCAGGAAAATGTGGAGGATTTGGCAGCCCTGTCTTTATGTCTACTGTGTTACCCTGCAGAACAGAATTGAAGACAAACATATGAATGTGCTAGCGTTGAAGTTACTGGATGCGAGTCTGCTACTGAATTACTTGGGGGGATTTTTTTTTTTATTATTATTTTTTTAGTGTCAAGATTAATTTTTTTGTCATCGTTCTGCTCTATTTAGTTTCTGTTCAGATAATAGTAAAGTTACAGTGCTCCAGAACAACTCCAAAACTCTGTCTTTAAAAATGCTCATTTGATATTAGTCTCCTTTGGCTAAAACTGTATCAGATATAATTGAATGCTGTCAGATTGCCATTGCTTTGTGTCACCAGCCCAGGAACCAGACTGAGCCACGAACCTTTCAGGAAAACCCATCATAAAAGCACTGGTAGGAAGCTGGTTAATACCAGTCTAATACAGTTAAACAGATTATCTTAAGAGTACATACCTCTGCCACCCCTTTATAACCATATCGCCTGGACTACCCAGTCCTTTTAACCATTATTATGCTGCAGAGAGGGGAAAATCCGAAGTCCTTTGGATGCAAAAAGTTATCGGAAGGTGTCAGAACAGAGAGATGATTTCAAAATCAGCCTAATCGTTATTCAGTATTGTGCTTACCCCTGACAGGAGATAATACTGCTGCGTTCCTCCGTGTCTGACATGGCTTACAGCTGCTCTCTGCGGTTCCCATCATGCGTGCGGTCAAGTCTTCTCGTGTCTGCCACCGCCAATGCAAAGCTGTATGCTGCAGGAATACCATTTGCCATCATTGCAAACAATGCTGAACTCATTACAAAGCTGTTAAAAGTGACCTAAAATTGGTCTGTTCTAATTAGTGTAATGTAACTGTTGACCTCAGTAGACTGACTGAACTCACAAAAAATGGTTTCAGTAGAAAGAAGCAATAGAAAATGTTACTTGGTGTAAATATATCGCAGAATCGCAGAATGGTCGGGGTTGGAAGGGACCGCTGGAGATCTAGTCCAACCCCCCTGCAAAAGCAGATTCACCTAGAGCAGGTAAATATATGGAGTATCTTGCCCGGGAAGAAGGGAGTCAAACAGAGCACAGAGCTGAGCTGCTGACTCATTCAGACTGGTCTTTTTTTTCTTGAATTGAAACTGAAGTCGAACCATTGCTGTGAAGTCTCGGCTGTGTTTGATCCAGAACTGAACTGCTTCCTGCCCGCCTGCCTTCCCACAAAGTGTCTCTACCTCCTGCTCTTAAATCCTGCCCCCCTCCCATGCCAGCCCGCGTAGCCCCCGTCCTCCTGGCAGCTGCATGACAGCACCATGTTGCGGTCTTTTCCCCGGCACCGTGATATCATCCTGCGCTGCTCGAGACGTCATCGCGCACGGCTCTCGGTCCCTTTGAAGCTCCGCACATGGACCGGTGCCGGAGAGACCTTCCCTGCCTCTGGCACGAGGGACTCCCGCTGCCGTGGGGTGGGGGTTTGCACATCCCTCATGGTGTGGGGCTTGCAAGGTCCTTCCCGTGGGACCCCCTTCCCGTGGGACCCTCTCCAGGACCTGACCGGAGTGGCCGCAGGTGTGTATGTATATCTTCATACCGCGTTGTGTGCATTGCTGTCGGTCTGCGCTGAGTGCCGTAAGCCCGGACTTTGGTGGGGTGGAAGGGGCAGAAGGATGCAGAGAGGACATCTCTCCCGATGGCCTGGGGGAGCCAGGACAGCAGTGCAGGCTGTGGGACAGCCCATCACGCTCCCTCTGCTTTCCCTCGCCCATGCCCAGGTTGGCGATGGGCTGCTCTGCACATCACTGCTGTGCAGGGAAGGAGATGGGAACGCAGTCCAACCTCACACGAAGAGTCTGCTCCTGTCCTGTAACCCATAAATCTTGTCTTAATAGTTAGGCAGTTCAGTATGAGCAAGTTTGAGGTGGTTCATCACTACCCAAACTGGTTAACAAATATTTACTGACATCCAGCCAAGCTAAACTGCAATTGTGCTATCAAATGTGGTAATTCTGCCTCTTCCCTGCCTGTGAAATTCAAGACCATAGAAGTGAAGATGAATGCTTTTTTCTTTATTGTGAGATGACTAAGGGCTGAGCCTTTGTGGTTTTCAAAACCTGGTTGTGATAAACATTGCCATGGCAATTAGACCATCTCAATGCGCAAAGCGAGAGGGTGCTGGCTTGGTAGTCATTCTAGTCTTCCTGGGGCGTGTTACCAGCACAGATGGAAAAGCTCACCCAGGGGAGCAGGCACCGCATCTTGCCTTCTCAGTGCAGAGCACCAGTCAGCTTTTCGTGCAGTTACCCGTGTTTTGCAACGCCGAGCTATAAACATGTCAATAGAAACAGGAGTTTCTAAGTGGGCAGAAAATGGCATGCTTCCGTACGCATACCGATACGCCTCTGTTTCCTTGGACTTTGCTTTTACTTAGCTTTCAGACTCATTTGTCTCCAGTGAAGGCTGCACGTGCTTTCTTCGTACTTCCGATCAGATGCGCTCCTATAGCTTTTGTTAGTTTTCATGGACCTCAGAGGAAGACCCTTGTCCATCGAGGAGCTTGTGGCCCATGTACCAGTTGCCTTGAGCAGGCGCAGACGTGCTGTGCTGTGCCATACGGTGCTGCACGTATTGCTCGGCCTTCAGGACCATGCTGTGCTGCCCATGTCTATCCCTTGCCATGGGGTACCCTCAGCCAGCTCATCATGATGGAAGACCCTGGAGGTGGCACCTGTTTGGCACCAGTAGTGACACCACCATCATGTCCTTGTCTTTTTATCTCGAGGTGAAGCAACATATAAACATCCAATTGAAAAATGCTACAAAAACTCTGAAGACCACCATGCGAGTGAATCTGACCCCCGACGGGAAGTCTGGGCGGCGTGCCATGCCCCCATGGCAGGTCTGTCTGACGCTGCGTCATCTCGGGGTTCCAGTGTCGGAAGAGACGTAAGGTAGCTTGCTGCTGCCTTTTCTGGGATATTAATGAAGTAGTTACCTTTCTTGAGAGTGTTTGTCTTCCTTTTTTGGGGTCCAAAAAGAATCAGTGCAAAGCCATAGTCCACTGGTATTTGTAAATATAATTATAGATTTTGTAGAGAAAAAATCTGTTCCTAAATATACGCCTGTCCAGTTAGGCCACCATTAATGCTGTACATCATTAAGCCTTAGTCAGTGTAATATTGTGCTGTGTGGGAAGGAATCCCAGACTGAATCTATTTTTGACCTCTAATGGTTATTTACAATGAGTTATAGTAGCAGAGTTCAAATGTTTGCTGATTATTGCTGAGCTGGACTACTATCAGGCAGTTTTAAAAATAAAACTTGCGATTTTAAGAGTATCATTGAAGTTCTTTAACAGAACCCTGCTTGACCTTTCAGCAAATTTGCTGGATTTCCTGAACCGGCACTCAGAGGCAGGGCTTGCGCAGCAGGGCAATGCCACCCAGCGCGGCTGCTGCTTAATGGGGCTGTTGACCTCTCCGTGCTGGTTCTCCGCTTTTCATGAGGCTCTTCACGTTGTCTTGCAGTACTCAAGATCTGTAAGTGCCTTCTTGGAGGAAACAGTGGGAAACTAAATTGTCAGGTAGCGAGGAGCCTGCGGGAAGCAAAAATTAGGATGAAAAAGATAAATTGGCCACAAAACGTGATCAGCTGGTTCAAGTATCAACCGTGTTGTGCTTGCAGAAGTGTGTCTGGGCTCTGCAATATCTGTTCTGTTCCTCACAGAAGTTTAGTCTTCAGAAACTGGGGAAGAATGGGAGCCAAATTTGGCTGTCCTTTTTCAGAACTTCCCCAGGCTCAGTTTTTCCTGCACCGGGACCCAGCCCTATGTGCAGGCGTGTAGGTTCGTACAGAAACAATAATCTCAGCTGGGCTGCCGGAGTGTCTTCAGAAGAGCTTCCTTTCAAGGAAACGCACAAAGCCTTGGCAGTTATGTCCAGCTGTGACTCTGTGGTGTATCTGATACTGATTAAATACTTGACAGGTGTTTTTTGGTTTTGTTTTGCAGGAAGAAATCATTCCTATTTTCAGCTCTGTATGCTGCCTTTATATTTGGTGGTCGGCACCTCATGAACAAACGAGCAAAATTTGAACTGAGGAAACCACTAGTGCTCTGGTCCCTGAGCCTTGCCGTCTTCAGGTAGGCATTTCTTCACACCAACTGCCTTTGACAGTAGTCCATGAAGAGGGTTTGGGGTTCTTACATACAACGGCACTACTAATACGACAGCAAGGTCATCCAGAAATGAGATTTCTTTAGTTCTGCTATTCAGGGTTATGTCCTGATCCACTCCTCACCATTGCAATGATCCCCTTTGACTTGCCAGATCATACGGTGTTTGAAGAGGAGAGACATCAATAACCCTCTTGAAGACCAAAGGTGAAAATACAGTGAGGACACAAGAAAAAGCGCTTATCGTTGCAATAAATTTACCATGCAAACTACAAATGGAGATAAGCACATTAAGATGTTAGTCTTGTTCTTACTAGTTAGTGTTACCTTTACATAGGTGCATAGGTGGAATATTTAGTGAAGACTCTGAGCTCCATTACAGTGAGGTAAACCTGAAGTCACTGCTTTGAGGACAGGTAAATTAGGTCAGTGGAACTGAAATCAGAATCTGGCTTGTGGTTATTCCATCGCAAAGAGCTTGTGACTGTAGCAAAAGGGTGGCTCCAGAGGGAAAGGCTGTTTTGTAGTGAAGCGCGTCTCCCTAGCTGTGTGTTGACTCTATCATTGAGTATGGGGCAAGTCCCGTTCAGATTCTGATTGCTGCTGAAGTCGGGAGTAAAACTGAGCAACCTGAGTTCCACTTGATCTGCTTAAGATGCTAATTTTTAGTGAGACGGAAGATAAACGAATGAAATGAACAAATGCTTATAAAAATAGCCCTTACAAACACACAAACTTTTGGTACAATTTACTAGGAAGACCTGAGGATTCTCTTTCATTTCGGTGCCTGTTGGGAGTGTAAGTTACAGTTCATTCAACAGCACAGAAACCATTTGCAAACCATTATCAAACACCATGCCTTTATCTGATGTCATTATAATAATTACCGATGATATTAGTTCACAAGTACGTAAAACAGGTTTGCTTACTGAGCAGCTGTGAATGGTGCATGATTTTTCACAGGATGGGAATAGTTTGAGCTGAGAGTTTCTACAGAGTAAAAGAAAGGAGGAATGGAGAAGTTGGCTTTCTTTCGTGGGCTTTCTTTTTTTCCTCCAAAATTGTTCTATCCTATTGACACTTTCTAAAACTCTGGCAGGGGAAAATAAATTGTATTTCTAAGTTGTCTCATCCAGCTAGGACATCGTAACAGAAGAACTTTATGTTGGCTTGATTTTAATAGTTCATCAATACCTTTAAAAAAAAAAAAATCCTGGTGCAGACAAAACTTTGAACAGTCTGGAGAACTTCGAGAGCAAGTTCTAACACTGCGAAAACACTTCTTATCTGGTTGCTGGTGGTGCTGTACTTCTGGCTGCGTGGCTAACGTAGTTTTGCTGTTAGGGTCCTGTAAGCAATTGTCATTTGTTCCAGAAACGGCTGAAATTCAGCAGCTGTTGAATTGGTTCCTAGATGGCATGTCATTTTTGGATCAGTTTGTAAAGTGATTTGTAGCCAGCAGGATCCCAAAATGCATATTCCAATTATGCTTTCTTATTGAATGTAGACACGAGAAGCTCGCTGACTTGTGCAAAGCATTTGTAGTTTAATTCCCAGTCCGAGGAGGGGAAGCATGATTTCAGAACTGTCCTTTGCAGAAGGTGTCTAGGATGAATTTTAAAATCACATTATTTTGAGAAGGGTCTGTGGCTGACATTCACAGCACGGGGCTTTTAAGCAATTTCACTAATTTATTTCCTCCCAAAATTGTAAGCGATGCACTGAGCAACGAATAGCAAGAATATACACGACACTGTGGAAGTGCTGTCTAGATGGACTTTGAAATCAACACGTTTGCTGCTTGCTAATTGGAGTTTCCCACCATAATCATATGAAACAGCTAATGCATGGCCAGCAGGAGCTGCTGAGTGATGCTGGGTGAAATCTAAAATGTGGACTTCATGTTTTTGAAGCTCCAAGTTGCCAGGATGAACCTGCCACAGAGACTTGCTGTGCCCCACGGTGCCAGTACTTGAGGTGGGCTCTGCTTGGGCAGATGAGACGCAGTGGTTGGAAGGATGCAGTCTGAGAGGGGTTCAGCTCTGCAGGGTTTGCCTCCTCCATCAGCTCAAATAGCATCATTCAGGGACGAATGTTCCCCAAGCACTGCAGAGCTCACCCTTTCCTCTGCACGTTGGGAAATGAGACAGCAGGGTGGAGAGGGGAGGGATGAACAGGGCTGTGAGATGTTTGGGCTATGCAGAAGCACCGAGCGTTTAAGCTGCTGGATTTGCTAGTGGGGACCAGTTGTTTCTGACAATGACATGGCTATGCTTAGAAAGCTTTGCTCTTCTGAGGTACTGAGTAGGATAAGTAAGGAATGGGAAAAACGACCCAAAATGTTTGCAGTAGGACAGAGCGTGAAACCCCTGTAGCTTCCATACTAACATGCAATCCCATACAAAACCAACCCAAACACAAAACCCCTTGACTTCTTGCCTGGAAAACAGAGGAAATGCAGAATATTCCTTAAAACCTGAAATAAGGGCTTCATATAAAAAGTGCTAATTGGAGCATCCATTTCCTGGTGTCTCACCACCACCGTCCTTTCCAGGGCCATCGGTCACTCCCAGCCTTGCTGATGCTCCTTGCAAGCTGCACCAGACTTTGAGTGCTGTACACTTTCCAAGTAGCTCGGATCTTTTTTTCCTGGCTCCTCGCATAACTAGGTGTTTCATGTACGTATGCTTGGCCTGAAAGACATTTCTCCTTCCTCTGAAGCAGATATTTTCAGATATATTCAGATAGATTTAGGTGCCAATGTTCTGCCTATAGACTTACTATGGATCCAGGAAGATGCTCCTTAACTTTAAGACGACTTCCTCTTTGCCTTTCTGGGGTGTTTAAATGCTATGACTTTAACGATACCTTCCAGAAATTCTAAGTAATGTATTTATCTGCCTTGAGTGGTTGTACTGAGGAAGAAAAACCTGCCTGGAGAGCCCTCAGTATTCTGCCGCAAGGTCAGCACGAGGCTTTTTTCCAGAGTCTTTGTTCATCGCCCTTCTAGCACTCCTACCTTTTTACCTGCTTCAGATAGCCTCAGAAATAGTAACACTTAGCAGAAGCTGGCAAGATGTGTTTTGGGCTTGAAAAAAAAAAAAAGGAAATTGCCTGCCAGGCAATGACATGGTCCTTCTTCAGAATGTATCCCGTATGCCTCGCGCTTGCCAAGATCATTTAAGTGTGGTAGCAGCTACAGTAGGAAACTTGCCACGCTTATAGACAAAACAACTGCACCACCCTACTGAGCTTGCTGAGCATTCAGGAGCTCGGTCAAGAGTGAGTTTTGTGTCAACACTGGCAGCCAGCAAGATTTCTGAGGCAGAAAAGCAGCTTTATTTCCCTTTGGAAGCATCGACTGGTTTAGAACATTTTGTCTCTGGAATAAGGTTACCACTTCTCAGGGAACGCTTCTGTAGGAGCAGTGACAGTAAAACTTGCTTTTCTCTTGGAAAGCACTGTGAAAACATGATCTTCTGAAATCTTTTGCTGAGAAATGAGTTTGGGATATTTTTCTTGGGTTGTTGGGCTGGGGTTTTTTTATTTCTCCCTAGCAGGTTTGTTGACCTGTTTCAAGCGCTGGAGATTTATCGTTGTCTGAAATGTTTTTGAGTCTTTTGTTTTGTTTTCTACACTTGAATTAAGTGTTTTTTGCCCAGCCTGGTTACGTACTGAGGTCCTGGGGGAGCAGATCTGTGCTGCTCCTTGTCAATGGGAACCCGCTGTTAGGAAGCTGACATGAAAGTTCATTTTTCAGTTTTGTAAGACCGCCAAGGAAACTGTTGCTGATTCACCTACACATCAAAGTGACAGTCAGCCCTGTATTTCTGAATATTTCCTGGGGTTAAAAATCTGCAAAAAACACATTGAATCTGAGTTGCCAGTTTTATGTTCGTGCCACTTTGAACATAAAGTTGGGTCATTCATTGAATTGTTTACTTGGAGTATATCAAAAGCGTCATGCTGGTGTCTCTAGGAATCGGCAAAGCTGAGACCAGGACTCTCACATTAGACAAAGTCATTAATTCGTGATTTCATTACATCTCAGCTGGATTTTTGTAATTCCTTTTACAGGTTGTGGAGTCTGTGTATGGGTAGCATTGCTATCAAGGAGCTTAAACGTGTGTTTGATCATGTCGTCTCCACACAAGGCAGCAGCATGGCACTGTTTTCACTGCCTCTCCATCCTTAAGGGGCTGCCAACAGAAGTCTCGGGGTCAAGGCACTAACTAATAATAGTAAAAGGTCGTCTTCCGTAGGGAATACTGACACGTCAACGCAGGACACGACGAAGCTAAAACATCCAACGTGATGCGGTCATTTGTAGACAGAGGCTAAGCCTGACCATGACGGGTGCAGTGAGAGGAGGGATTTCTCTTTGTCTAGCCAAACCACACAACCAAAATGCTGTTATCAACACCTGAGATCATTTAGCATCTAATCCAAAAATTCAGCTATGCTTTGTAGCAGTGGCGGAAATCAGTTGATGTCAATACAGGGTTTCCAAATGTCTTTCTTCCTGGGAAACACTTTCTCTCAAAGTAGTAGAAATGGTATCAAACATAGCTGAAAGGTCACTAGTTGCTTGCCACAGAGCTAACTGGAACCTCAAAGCAAAGTATTCAAATAGCCACAGGTCTTATATTTGAAAGGCAAAACCCAAACAGGCTCACTGGAAGAAGGTGACTCACTTTTCTTTTATGAGACGGGTGTAATTGATTTGTTACTGCAAGCACAGCACCATTTTCTAGAAGGGTTTGCACTTGTTCCGCAGAACGCTCCCGACAAGGCAGTCCGAAACCCATCTGGAGGTGAGGAGCTCAGTCCTGAGCTGAGCTGAACGGGAAAGACTAAACATAAGTTTAAAGAAAGGATTTCAATTGCTTGGATTTGTGACTCTGAAACACATTCTAGTTACCATGCTTATAATCAGGAAAATTGATGAATAATGATTCAAATTTACG